TTACTAAGAGAATCTATCTTTCTCCTGAGTTGATTTAGCCATCGACTTAGTAATTTAACTGGCATGAGGTAGGTCTGGTTGGATGCCTTATGTGGAATATTGTAGCAGTTACTGTCGCTTGGATTAAGGGAGAAGGTATGTGGTGGATTGTGTTTTACTGACTTATAATATGTTTCATATTGTTGTTCATGGGCTCCATATTTTTTTTATTTTTTTATTTTTTTGTTTAGGTCCAACAATCTGGTTTCTTTCTATCATCTACTTCATATCTGGTGTTCCAGGAGCCTATGTGTTATGGTACAAACCTCTTTATCGTGCAATGAGGTAATGAAAAGGTCTACCTTTTTACCTTCATTTCATCTCTTTTCTTTTCCATTTTGTTGGGGCGGTTTTGGTAGGTATTATCTTGGTTTAATGGCTCTAATTTTTCAGTATTTCAATCACAGACCCATGTTATTTTTGTTAGTAGTAACTGTTTGAGGATGTTGTATCTTTCATCCGTCATTATCTGTGACCTTACTGCTTAATTTCTTGTCAGGTTTTTTTACCAGTCTTATTTGTCTTAGTTTAAATGGACTTCAATAGATTTACAAGGCAACGTGACCAGTGTGTTTGTGTCTGTCTGCAATGAGTACACGTATTGCATTTTCCCTTTCACATTTCAGCTGATTTTGCATTATTTCACATTTATTTCCATCCAGGACTGATAGTGCTCTCAACTTCGGATGGTTTTTCTTGTCTTACGTGGTAAGATTTGATAAATACTCTCGGGTTATCCTCAACAAGTTGGAATGTGATGAATTAACCCCCCATATGTTTGCTTGTGCAGTTTCACATCTGCTTCTGTGTCTTTGCCACTGTTGCTCCTCCAATGATTTTTAGAGGGAAATCGTTGACGTACTTTCACTTTTCATGTTCTCTTGAATTGCACTCTGCTCCGTTTTTCTTGTCATGAGTTTAGAAGATATGCAGGAGTAGGATATCAAAATTATGCACACTGTATACATATTGAAGGTTGAAAAAGATTGTTTTTTCTAATCCTTGCCTTTTATTTTCATATTGTTTATTGATAACTTAGCAGGAGTAGGAAATCAAAATTATGCACACTAAACACATATTGAAGGTTAAATAAGATTGTGTTTTTAATCTTTGCCTTTTTTTTTTCTTTTTTTGTTCATATTGTTTGTTTATAACTTATCCAATTTTTTCATTAGCAGGAGTAGGAAATCAAAATTATGCACACTGAACACATATTGAAAAAGATTTTTCTTTTAATCCTTGCCATATTGTTTGTTGATAACTTACCCAATTTTTTCATTGGCAGTGGAATCTTTCCTGCAATTGACCTTCTTAGTGAAAATATTCTTGTTGGGGTAAGGCTCCCTACATTCATGCTCTAATTGAAAATTTGCGTTAAATTTAAACAAAATGTATATATTTGTTCTTTTTTTTTTTGTTTTTGCATTACAAGTAACAAAAGGAAATCATCTGGTTATGGATTCCTACAGATTTGAAAATGTGTGCGTGTGTGTGATGACCTCATGGTCTCTTGACTTTAACCTTGTCCACAATGCTAATTGATATAAATCTGATCTGATTCTAACTGCACATTGTTTGGCTCATGAATTTGCTTTGCTCTTATTTGGAGTTTCGTATTTTATGCATTCCCCTTTCTTTTTTCAAGTGATTGAGGGGTCTTGGGGCATTTTTGTCTTGCTTGCAGATATTTTACTTTGTTGGATTTGGGTTCTTCTGCATTGAATCACTGATTAGCATATGGTTGATTCAGGTTAAAATCTTCAACTGATTTTTATGTCCAAGTTCTGTTCCTTTTGGCTTTGCTTGAACTTACTTTTATATGTTATAAATGTCGCACAGCAAGTTTACATGTACTTCAGAGGAAGTGGTAAAGCTGCAGAAATGCGGAAGGAGGCAGCAAGACAAACTATGATGGCAGCGTTATGACATATCACATATGTCCATGATCATTAAATTTTTTGCTTAGTTGAAAATTCGTGTATTATTTTTTTCCTGTACATCTTACGTCTACTTTGTTAACTCAAATCGTTAAATATGTATTTCCATCTTGTACATAATAATAATAATAACAACAACAACAACAACAACATCATTGTGGGCTTGTGTTCGTGACTCGAGGTTTCCTTGCGTCTTATTATTATTATTATTATTATTATTATTTTGGTTATTTTATTGTGACAACCAGTTATGTGCTTGGTTTGGGGTGAGCTCCATGTAAAAATGGGTGATTGGTTAAAGAGTTTTTATTGTAGGGTTTTGATTTTGATATCTTAAGATGGAGGAATATTAAATTGTGTCATTTTATCATAGGTATATATTGTACATGTATAATAGATATCATTTAAAGATTGACATGTTTCATTTTATCTAATTAAATGAATAAAAGAAGAAAACATAATTTGTTTATTTACTAAAATGTCTTTAATTAAATAATTAAAGAAAACAATATTATAAACTATATCTTATTTTATTTAAAATTGTGTTAAATCATTTATATATTATGCATAAAATTTAGAAAAAATAAAGAATTTGATTAAGAGGTATTGTGCATGACAAGATGAACAAAATGAGAGTTCACTTGTCAAATTTATTCAATTGAAATATCGAAAATTGTCGGTTGAATTCTTCATCTAGCTGTCGTACGTTGTTGAAAATATGGCAACTTTGCCAATATTTCTCTATAATTGGATTGTCAGATCGACGATTGGAAGACACCGTTGAATTCCTTATAAAAAGAGTTTTCTCTGCATATATGCTCCATGAAAATCTAACGGCTGGATCTTTGGTGTTATTTCAACAAAATTTAGTGCGTGAGTTTTGATTTATCAAAGTCTGAAGTATCGTATGACGAAATTAAACATGCGGCTGGATATATCGGGTCAAGAACTTCAAAATGATATATGATTTGTTAAAATATCTGGTAGGCGGGCAATGAACGACGGTTGACGGTGGTGGCCACTGGTGAACAGTGGTAGCGAAATGATCGGGTCTTTAATTCTGACACGTTTTAAATTTAATAGCCTATATTTAAATTATTTTTATTTTTGTCTACATGATTTTTAAATTAAATACTGATATAACAACTAGAATAACTCGATAGACTGGTTTCAAGCAGTGAGCTCGGTAGATCAATAAGGAATTAGCTTGGGCTTGTAGCTCGACGGTGATAGTTGATGGATCTAACAACTGGGGCATGATAGGTTAAAAACCTTATAGCTCGATAAGAACATATTAACATCGGACAACTCGTGAGATTATGGTGACTCTATGTGAGCCTCTAACCACGACCTTGGACCTTATAGCTAGGACCAGCCGATCAGGGAGTAAAATCTCACGAGCTCTGACATATGGAATGGGTGTCAGGATGGGTCACTGACCTGAGTATGTATAAAACCTTGAAATTAGATAAGGAAACGATCATTAAGAATGAGCTGAAGAATTCTTCAAGGAGATTATGAGTAAATATAAAAACAAGATGGGACAAATCTGGGACAACAATGGTACTTGAGCAACAAGATAGGGCAGCTCTTCGGCAACAAAGGCACTTGGGCAACAAGATTGGATAGATCTTGGGAAGCAAGATCGAACAGATCTTGGGCAGCAATGTAATTTTCTCTAAAAGGGTCTCAGGTATTGAATGATTCATCTTCTTCTCTCTACATTTTTAATACTTGTTTGTCCCATTTTTGTTGCATTTTTCGTGTTTGTTTTGTTTTTTTTTTTTTCCTCATTTTAGGTCTTTTCTTTTGTTTTTAGTTTGTTTTGTGTTTTGCTGTGTGTTTTCCTTCATTCTGAGTTTTTCTGTGTTTTTTGTTCATTTCCTGGTTTTTTCCGTTTTTTTTCTCGTTTTTGGTGTGCAGGTCGGAAGCTTCGGGAGGATACAATTTTAGAAAAATATTGGATGGGCAAGCATAATTAACTAGAAGGGTTCGTTGTCGACAAATAGAAAAAAACATAGTACCATTCCGAGTTTGGACGAGTTCAAACGAGCCCAGAATGTGAAGTCGCGCAGCCCAGACCCTAGCGGCATTAGGTACCCCTAGCGGCGCTAAGGGTGGCCTAGCTAGCGGCGCTGGGCAAGCTAGCACGCAAAAGAGACTTCCGACCTTAGTACCCTAGCCCCCCTTAGCGCCGCTAGGGCCTGCTGCGGGCAGATTTCATTTTTTTTAGTTTTTTCTCGATTTTTTGAGCTCTATATATTGGGACGAATCCCCAGACCTGTGTAAGAGCCCTCAACTTTTTTTTCCTCAATTTTTCTCCCTTGGAAACTTGATTCGATCTTGGAGGATAACACTCCAATAATCGATTTGTAAATAGTTTCTTAGGTTATTCTCCGTTTTTCTTTTTCTTCCATGTTTAGATTGTTGGAAACAAAGACATTAGGATCGAACTCTTGCAAGTCCTAATCCGATTGTAAGTTTTCAATTCTATTTTATTATTGTTGATTGGATTTATGTTCTTCAATCTAATTAACATGGAATTCAATCCAAGAATGAGGTAATTCATTCACCTAGGGTTAGGGATTTTGGTTCTTGTTTTGAATTGTGTTGAATGTGTTTTGTTCATTCTATGTGAGTTGCTTTAAAAAGGGGTTTTCGATTCTCATTTTGAATGTTGAATGTTGTTGAAGAGTGACACTTCAATTTGTAATTTTTTTTTTCAATTGAATATGATTCATCCGGGTTTAACGATGTTAATTCCAATAGATTAGTCGATTAACCACAGTCTAGTCTAAAGTAGTTAACTCTTAGAACGAAAAGGGGAGGAGTTGATCGATCTAGGCTCGTATATAGTAGACTTGTTCGTAAAAGTATTGTCTATGTGTTGCTTGATAGAACGAGTTTTTCGTCTATGTGTGTGTGCTCTTGTTACAAAAAGTTATTGAGCATAAACCTCTAGACGTGTAGGCTTGTTGAATCATGTAACCGAACAAATATGCGTTCATCATATTTTAGGACTTGATGGGATTTCCCGACCCCTAGAACTTCTTGTAATTCTCTAGCAATTTAATTATTATTTCTTTTATTTGCTTTTCTAGTTCTAGTTAGTTTTAGTTAATTCTCCATATCAATCGTGATTAGAGTGTTTAGGACTTATTTTTTCTTATGTGCGCGATCGACACAGAATCTAGATTTCGAACAGCCTTCCTCGAGAGATCGACCCGAGGTCGGGAGTCGTCCCGTACTCGGGCAAAATATAATTTGCTACAACAATACTCACATAATTATCACATTTTGTATAATTCTAGAACTGAATTGAGTGTCGTAGGTCAACCGCTGGGAACACCCTCGACATATTGTAGGTACATGAAGTCCATTTTAAAGAAGAAAATTGGTTCGAAGATATTTCGTTGTCATTTCAAGGATGAGTTACTTATCAAATTAGCGCCGTCTGTAGAAATTAACCAGTTCTCTACCAGTTTTAAGGAGCAAAAGCTTGGCTTTGGAGTCACTGTTGGTGGGTGCCGTTCTTCTCAGCGGAGCTTCCAACGGGTGGTGGTTGGCCGGAGTTCTGCGGTGGTGCTCGGCGGTGTGTGGGTCCGAGGACGGGGGAGACCACCGACTGCTGCATCGTGGCGATTGGGGTGGATGACCCGTACCACCTACCCCCGCCACGTTTCGGCTAGTGGTGTTAGGCGGAGGGGGGCTGGAATCCTTACTTTCTTGAACTCGGCTAGTGGTGTTAGACGGGTTCGGGAGGTGAGGGTCGGGTTTGGTTGGTCGGGGTTCATTCGGTTGGTGGTGGATCGATTCTGGGATTGGTTTCGGTTTCGGCTTCGGCTACTGTATAGGCGGTTGCGCAGTTTCGGTAGTCGCTTCTCGGGCTGGGACTTTTCTTGTGTCGGTTGTCCTCTGTTGGTTCGGGCTAGCTTGTTCGCTGGGGAAGGGCTTTTAGGTTTATTTTAGTTTATTTTTGTTGTTGTCGTTTTAGTTTATCTTAGTAGGTCTGTTCTTTCGTTATTGTTTTTGTTTTGTTTGAGTGTTTTTGGTTTGGGCCGCTGGCCTCTGTGCGCCCGGGTGTCAAATTTATTACTCCGTGGGGGTCCGACACTCGGGTATTACTCCGTTGGGGGTCTTGTTTAGTTTTGTTGGTGTAGTTGGTTTAGTGTGGTTGTGTTTTTTGTTGTTTTAGTGTGTGTTGCCCGAGTATTACCCCGTTGGGGTCGGCTCTAGGCGATCTCTGGATCTGCCTCCCAGTTTTCTAGTCTCTGGTTGTACTATTCAGCCTTTGGCTGCTTTTCTTCGCACTTTGTGCAGTTTATTATTTAGTACCTCTATCGTTTTGGGAAAAAAAAGACGATGGTTGATGAAAGCTGGAAGAAAAATCTCAACGAAACCATGGAGAAAGCATAGGTGGACAAATCGCCTTTTGGAGCAGGACTGTAGTTTGGGTGGGCAAATGAGGTCGATGCTTTGGTCACGCCCAATACGAGTTTGCTTGGATTGAATCACGTTGTTGGATGTCGATTCTGTGAACTCGAGTACAACAAAGGGAAAATAGGTCATCGTGTCTGCCAAGGAAAAGGGAGCTCTTTCGGAGCACCACGTGGTGGTGGTCACGAGTGGGCCGGATGTGGAGCAAAGAGGTAAGGTGTGAGTCGAGAGGTCTCAAGGTGTTCAGAATGATAAACCTGAGGACCATGAGGGACAGGCAAGGAGTGAGCAGGTTATATAACTCATAAGAACAGAGCTGGATAGATTTATTGGAGATGAGATAGGTAAGGCGCGAAAACCATTACTCAACTCAGTAGTGGAGAAGTCGTTGTTTGTAAGTAGCAGACAAGAACAGGGGAAAGAGAGGTTAGTTACTTCTTCGATGATTAATAGGCTGGCATGATAAGTGACCTTGGAGCGGATGACGAACCAAATCAGGGAGATCAAAGCTAAGGTGGAAAGAAAAAGACAACCTCGCGTCCAGGGTCATCC